TGAGAATATGGACCCTTTGGTCAATATTGAATTTTAAATGTTATGATTGCATGAAGCATGATAAAAACAATATGTTTGAGTATAGTCAATCATTTTTTAAGGTTGTATCAAGTTTCAAACTATAACGTAATGGATCCATAGGCATAGAAGCCGATTTTCGTATGTAAGATAGGATAGTTATTCCCATGAAATAGCTAGAACGGGTAATAAATCACCAGAGAACCCAAACTATAGATATGGACACAAGCTATGGACCGCGGACGGTTGAACTTGATTATCATGTGTCCCACAATGATTTGATTCTAGTAAATGATCAATTCTTAAACATTGGAGGACTCGAACTACAGACCATTGGCTGTTGAACTCGATGACCAGTTTTTCATAATAGAATCTCTATAACATAGACTCATGGCCTACTTTTGTGTTCCATCACGATCAATGGAAATTGGGTCTCCCTCGTCATTGCAAGACGTATTATTGAATTTATGATCCTATTTTGTGAGAGTACTTAACTTTTGATTTATATTCTTGATTTCGTGATTTCAAATCTTTACTTATAAAACATGTTTGTTTTCAATAGACGTTAAGCCTAACATTTTTTTTTCTTAAATGACATGTACAGCAGGTTCTCCTAGCAGTGGGGCTCCCAAGATTTGAAAGGAACGATGATTGTCGTTAGGGGCTGTTAGTCCCAAACGGATATACAAGAGTTTTAAAGGTAACAGTTTGTATGTAAGTTGATACAAACATACAATTTTCACTTTTTAAATTCGTTTATTAATAAAAGAAGATCAATATGGAATTTACAGATTGGATTTCAACCGATGAACACCCCTACTTAACATCTTGAATTTTAACCTTTTCTTTGAACAAGGCTGCACATTAGAACTACTAAAAACATGAAGCATATATGTACAGAGAAAGCAATTAAATAATTGAAATTCCTATTTACAAACAATGGACTTCAGAAAGTACATACCTTTTTGAAGCTTTTAGCAAAGGGTAACCACGTCCACTAAACAATGCTTTACGATTGTTATAAGATCATGATATAACTTCATGGCTATTTACTTTGAACGCATTGTTGTTCTCATGTTTAACTAGGTAAATTGCTCCATGAGGATGGACTTTATGGATGAATAATGATCCACACCATCTAGTCTTGAGCTTTCCTAGGAACAGTTTTAACCTAGAGTTGAACAAGAAGACTTGTTGGCCTTCATTGAATTCTTTGTTATAGATCATTTTGTCATGCCATTTCTTTGTTTTCATTTTATAGAATTTGGCATCCCCATAGGACATATGCCTATGTTCCTTTATTTCTATTTCATAAAGTTGCAACTTTCTTTAACTGCCAACTATATTTAAACATATATTATAATTCAAATACACTAAAGTGTATTACCATCAAATAATCTCTATGATACAATAAATTATTAAAATATCACAGTCTTATTATTTATTTCTCACAATGTCCAAAACCCCCAAACATAGGCATTGTTCAATATTTATAAAACCAAATGCATAAAAGATGCAAACTTCATCAAACAATCAACACATTTGATAAATATTAAGGAAACACTTCAATACATCAAAATGGATATTTTTCGCATGTACATAGTTTTCACAAGTAACTTGAAACTCATCATGCTAGGTTAGGAAAAACCTAGTTTCCAACCCCATCTATTGCTTCCAAAAAGTGAAGACTTGAATCCACGAGTAAATATTCTAAATAACTTCTCAAGATCACTTTCCATTGTTAGAATTAAACCAAATATGAACACAATATTTAGATCTAAAAAATCTACAAAATGGAACACCCAATCACTTACTTCATAAAGATCTTGAAACCTTCCATCATAGAACTTTAATCTCCGAGGTTCTTCTCTCCGTCTGCTCCAAAAACGTCCCCAAAATGTCAAAATCATCAAGAGGGGGAAGATGGTGAAAGAAATGGGTGAAAAAAAATAAGGCTTAAAAAGATGTACCAGAGGCTTCTCGTGATCTAAGTCGCGGGCCATGTCGCCCGAGTACAAAAACGTGCCAAACAAGGGCTATCACGGCTCACGCCGCGGGCCTTGTTGCGCTGTGTCATGCCTTTGGTTGGGCCCGTTTTTCGACCTTTCTTGAAATTTATTTTAATAGTAACACCACAATTTTCGGGCATTACATATTATATTTAATATAAACAAAGACATATATTGCAAATTCAAATCGAAAACCTTAGTTTATTTCTAATAAGCGAAGATGAATTGAAAAGGGCCCATTAAAACCTTTTGATTAGTTTTCTAACTGGTTTAAAATGTAAAGGAGTCATAGCTGATAAATAAATCATGTAAATACTTGATATTATTTCATTATAGATAGTGGCAGTAGTGGTTGACAACGGTGGTGGTGGTGGTATATTTACATTATATTGTATATATTAGACTAATGAATGAGAAAACAAATCAAGAGATTATTTTTACATTAATCACTAACAATATCCATTTTCCATAGTACCCATAGTACCATATTAAAGTCGTTGAATGACATCTTCATAACAAAATATTGAACCTTCATTGAAAAGAACACCGAACCTGAGGTCAGTCTCTATCCTCAACAAACTGGCCATCTGCATATAACAACACCCTTTTTGAAAAATGTACATATAACCCGTTATTCAATTTTTTTTCCTCTCATTTTGATTCGAATTCAAATTTCTGGGACGTGGAAGTACAATATACATACATACCTACATATGTATGTGTGTGTGAGTTTTGCAAGTTCTTACATTTTCATTTCAATTTCACGTAAACTTTGTTACCAGTTTATTGTTTTTATCATCAGTTTGTAAGTTCGCTTACTAATATATAATCGATTGGAATTAGATGTAAAGAAATTCTTTAATATGTACGTATATACGCACAAAGTACAAATATGTAATATACATATCAATTATTATGCATGCAACATTACATGTGCAATTGTGCTTCTTCCTGTATTCCTTCAATCAATTTTTTCTCGAATCTAATCATAACAAATTATTGGAAGATCGATTTATATTCACAATTCAGTTTTTTATTTATTCATCATGAAGTGTCTTACAAATACGAAAAGATTCGGCATACTGCTTTTCATTTATTGTCAACTAAATTTATGATCCAAATGTAGAGGGATCTGTCATCTTATTAGGGTTTGAAAAAAAATTCAACACTTTGAAATTTCTCTCGATATTTGATTATACATTTCTGACTCCTGATCATTTTGTTACATGCAATATGCACTATCGAATTAAACAGGCGTAAATGCGCACTTGGTGAAAAATATCAAGTGCTTGGATGCGAGAAGATTTCTAGACTAAGCATAAATTTCATAAATGTTCCTGTAACGTGTAAGTCAGATAAATAACAGATACTTAGATAGGTGTACGTCATAACCAACAAATTTGAGCATGATTTTTACTTGCTATTGGAACTGTATACATACCCATTGATTTCTCATTAAACTACAAGTTATTTAAACCACAAAATACTTAGAAAAATTAATTAAAATTTGGATTGAAATTTAAATTAGTGCAAGAGAAAAATAAGTACTATACTGCTTATTCATCACAAGTGAAACACCCTTCCCACTATTTAGAATCAACAACGACCACTCCACCGTCGTCGACAACCGCCAACAACCACTTCAACATCCCCCACCACCATGACCACTCCCCCGTGCACCAAAACAACCACCTCTAATCTCCTTGTATACCAATACCATCAACTGGATGTCTGCATACCTCCCTCTCCCTTGCGCATCACCATTCCCCCCCTCTTCGTGTACATGGACGTGGTTGCGCATTACTGCCCTCCCCCTCCCTAACGACCCCTTGCCTTGTTAATGGCACCTGTGACTTTAAAACCCCTTGACCCCCCCCCCCTCCCCCAATCCTGTGTTTTGATTTAATGTCGAAACATTTTTTAGTTTGGAGTATTTTTGCTAATTTGATCGAATTTTTTGTAAGTAAAACAAATTTAAAAGTTGGATGACAATTCTTAATTTTTTTGTAGTTGAATGTTTTTTATTTGAGAATTTAGTTACATGTAGATGGTTTTTTTAGAGCATCTCTAACAACTTTTCCATAATGACAGAAGTTTTTTTTTTTTTGAATTTTTAGCCTCTTTTGTTATTCCGATAATTTTTTAACAATATTCTTCAAAATGAAAAAAGAAGAAGAGACCTGATTATAGTCGTGTTTCGCATTTCCAAGCCTTGTAGCAGCTCAAATGATCGAACCAACAAAGCAGGGGAAGCCACACAACCTAGTGGGCGACCCTACTCAAGGCTAGGCTCGCCTAATTCTCTGGAACCGCAACTAGGACGGCGGGGTAACCCACATATCTCACGGTTTTCATCTGCCAAGGAGCACAAGACCAAGGCAAAACAAACGCACGACTCAAAGATCAGGGGCACTAGTTGTACGCACAACCATGGACATGATCAAGGTCGTGAGCAAAGTCTGGTGTGAGCCCTTTTCATACAGAAATGCAGTTGTCGAACAATCTCTGAGATTACCCGACCCTACTTACTGCTATCACAATCTAATATGTAGTAGGGGCATTAAGATTAGTATTTATTATTTGTTGGAACCGATACTCATCAGAATCTTCAATATCAAAAAAGAAACGTTAGGAATTAGAGTTAATATACCTTTTTATAAAGATTTTGACTTTTACGTCTTTATTTTTAAGATATTTTTTAATTAAATGTTAAACTAAAAACAAATAAATTAGCACATTATAAATGTTTGTGGATCTACAAGAATCCATCCATCTTATACTTGGTTTATTTTAGAGAGGGTGATTAAAAAGGGCAAGAAGAGTACAAGAAAATAAAGTGAAAACATAGCAATCACCAATGTACCATCTTCCTCTCATTTCTACCAAGTGATCTTACACCACCGCCATGCCTTTCTCCACCACCACCACCACCACCACCGCCTATCTCCGCCGATCTCCTCTTTACCCCTAACCATGTCGGACCTCCCCCTGGTTCCCGATCCTCCGGCCGACGATGCCGTCATCGATTCTCTTATCGCCTCAGAACCCCATCACCTCCCCTCCCCCGACTACATCCTCCGCTGCCAACGCCGATCCATCCACCTGACCCACCGTCAAGATTCCATTAACTGGATCCTTAGCGTATGTATTTCTATAAACTTGTAACTCCATTTCTATGATTCAACCTGTAATCTTTTCACATCTTTAACGCAGGCTCACGCACATTATGGGTTTAAACCAGCAACCGCCATCCTATCCGTCAACTATTTCGACCGGTTTCTCTCCTCCGCCTCTCTTCCGGTATATATATATACCCCCTATACGTATATCTATACATACAGTTTTATGTATTTATAATAAGTAATAATGATGGTGGGTTTGAATATCAGGGGAATAATATATGGGCATTTCAGCTGCTATCAGTCACTTGTTTGTCGTTGGCTGCTAAAATGGAGGAACTCCATATCCCTTCTCTCCTAGACCTCCAGGTATCGGAACCCCGATTCATATTCGAATCCAAAACGATTCAGAACATGGAGCTTTTGGTCATGGCTAATCTCAATTGGCGACTCCGGTCGATCACTCCCTTCGATTTCCTCCATTACTTCATCTTCAAGATCCCGGTTTCTTGTAGACCCGACAACGATGATCCACATGGGAGTTTCCGATCTGCATGTTCGGATCTTATCGTCAGTACAACTCGCGGTATTTCCGCTGCCCGACCCGATTAATTCATTGTTAGTGATTTTGAAAAATCGATTATTGATTGTGGGTCTGTTTCTGAATGTGAGCAGTCATCGATTTTTTGCGGTTTCCCTCGTCAGTGATTGCAGCGGCAGCGGTGATGGTGGCGGCCGGCGGTGTTGATGTACCGGAAAGTTTCTACGAGAAAGTAAACAAAGTAATCTTGATTTTTTTTCCTTTAATTTTATTGTATAATCACACAATTCCTCAGTAAATCAAACACTTTTTCGTCAAAGAAAAAGCGTGAAATTCGAAGCATCGAAAGCTGTGAAAAAATAAGTTTCACATAATTCGTTCATTAAATTAACAGGAAATGGTGGGAAGCTGTCATCAACTGATGGAGGAGTTCTTGGTGGACACGTGCCCATCAGCCAATCAGATTAAAATGAAGCTCCGAATAGCCGAGCAGTCGCGGGCGCAGCCACCGTCGAGTCCCGATAGGGTACTGGATGCGGCTGCTTGCGTCAGCTGCTACACCTGTTCGAACGACGGTGGTCGAATCCCACCCTCCGGCGATGGTAGCTTTGGGAATAATGTTAGCCAAGCCGAGCCGCCAAACAAGCGGCTCCGATCATTTGTACATGAAGAGCAGCCATAGAATATAAATTTATTTCTTATTATATTTATCTAATACAGTATTTAAAAAAAGGTTCCTTTTTTCTCTCTCTTATTTTAAATGAAATTGAAATTAAAAACCATAACATTTAATCTAAAAACATAAATATTTATCACCCTTTTTTTTTTTTTTAAGGAATTCATCCGGTTTAGAAGTTAATCACATCTATCTATATCTGCTAGAAAGGTACTCGTGCAATGCAGCGAAATACATCTCGATTTTCATATTTTATTTTATTCTTTGTCTTTGTCGATGTTATAATACGATTTTATGTGTTTTTAAGAAAGCAATAATGATTTTATTTTGGAATAAAATATCATAAAAAAATTTAAAAAAAATATCAATGTTAATATCAAATCAACTATTTAAAAGTTTTCAACTATGTAATTTCCATAATTTATTTTTTTATTATAATTTAATTTAAGTTTAATAATGAAATAATTTATTTTTGGTTTAATAATATAATATTTTATAAAGATAATAATTAAATATTTTGTTAGAAGTCAATGATTATCCTAATTATATTTTAGATTTTTTATATTTAAAATGAGATGTTTATCCTATATTTGATTATGTTTATCTGCAGTTAGTTACACGAATTCAGATATRGAGYTTTAATAAGTTGTACTTATGCACAACTTACTTGTAATCTTGAGTTTTAAGTAACATGCATTAATAAACAGTATTTTATGCATAAAAAGTTGTTTTTAAGAGTTTTTGTCAAATGTTTTATAATATAGTATAAACTATTCTTTATGCATAAACTACTGTATATTAGTGCATACTACTTAAAATTTAAAAATTAAAAGTAAATTATGCGTACGTACAACTTATTAAAGCTCCATTTTTAAATTCGTATAATTAATTGCAGATAAACATAATCAAATACAAGATAAATATCTCATTTTTATGTAAAAAATCCAAAATGTAATTACGATAATCATTAAGTTCTAACAGACTCATTATCTTTATAAAATTTTATTGTTAAGTCAAAAATAAATTACTTCACTAAATCGTAAAAACATTATTTTTTTTAAAACCACATAAATCGTATTACATCAACAAAGACAAAAAAAATAAAATGAAACATTAAAATAAAAATATATCTCGCTGCATTGTACATGTACCCTTCTGATCATATCAAATGCATCTAACAAACAAGACATGTTTTCATATTTACAACCTTTTTATTATTCTTAATGCTTCACGTTTAATTAATGTAAATGTATGTCTACACATATGTACTCCATTTCTTTTATATATTTGATAATTCGTATTATGAGTTTTTAATTCGTCATTCATATATGAAACTATGTGTAAAGATGCAACATTTATACAATATTGTTTCATATGTAAAACGTTCATGACTTTCTTTTGCCACACACTAGACAACCATTAACATTTCATATATGAAACAACATTTACGATTTTACAATGTTGTTTCTGTTAGAAAATACAGAGGATAAAGTTTGAAATTAACCAGAAAAGTCACTCGAAATCAATTAAAAGACAAGAAGATGAAATCAACAAAAAAAAAACCAGAAAAATCTCTCGAAATCAATCAAGAAAACTGGAAAAAAAATCTCTTTGAAACATGGAATTTGGTTAAAGTTACATAGAACTTACACCTGAGACGTGCTGTTGCATCTTTCTCAAAGAGTCGACTCCATTTAGAGAAATGTATTTCATTCCACAAATCAACACAAACTGATTATTTACCATGTCAACCCGCATTTCCAAAACATCAAATCATAACTTTACGGATCTTTAATCCACCTCAAAGATGCATACATTTGATAAAAATCCCGAATCCGTCATCGATGACATTCATGTATTTTGTGTTTTAAAGTCGTTTTTTTCTTAAATAGTAGAATAAATTGTATTGGCACAAGTGGCAACCAACTCCCCTTTCCCTCACGACTTCGATGGCAACCAACTCCAACACCCTTTTTCCAATCACTTAGTGCCATCAACCCAAAGTCCCGAACCACCATCAAGTTTTAATTTTGTTTAATTAATTTTTCAACCATTAAAGTTTGTTTTTGTTACTTTTTATATTATGACAATTATACATATTGTAATAAAAAATCGTTTTGCAAAATTTGGTACGAATGATTGCAAAATTGAAACTTTGAGTTTTGTTTCTAAGACATTTTGTTTTTGTATCCGAGTGATTTATTTGAAACATTTTGTAAACTTCGTTTAATAAAATGCTAAACATTTAAAAGATTCGTTATTTTTTTGGTCTAGTTTTGAAGTATACCAAATAAAAAAAGCAATTCTAAAAACAATATAATATCAGAAATCAATTAAATGTTCTTGGTTCAGGTATGGTTAGGAGTCGGTTACCAAACACTTATCTGGTAAGTGCTTACCGATAAAATTTAACACTATTATTTACTTACCGGGTAAGATTTTAGTCCACCAAAAACGATATCGTATGCAACAATTTACCCGGTAAACGCTTACCGTGGTAAGAATTGTCGCCCTCACTTATCGGGTTGTTAGCTAAAGGAACACTCCTGTCACTATAAATTTATCATTTATAACAATTATT